CTGATATTGTTACCATATGTGGAACTGGAAAAGAGGATAGTAAAACACATGCTCTTCGTTTTGCACCTACTCGAAGGAAATATGGAGGCAATGTCACATAAAACACAACTACCCATCCCTGGATAATGATTTATCAACCTTCCATTGGCTAAAGCACCAATTAAAATCAAACAAGCACTATAACCAATACATTACTAGGCCCATCCTCTTACCCTTCCTACTTTGGTATGTATGGACCACGAGAAATGAAAGAATTTTTCACAAAAGTAGCCCATGTCCCAACTTTAGCAAAGTGATCAATAGCACACCGAAATTCCTCTTCCTCAGCAATTGGAACCCTACTAGATCACCAAAAAGAACTATCCTCATTAAATGGGACCCACCAGACCTAGAGACCTACAAACTAAACATAGACGGATCGTGTCCAGGTAACCTAGGAAAGGGGGGCACAGGGGGGGGGGGGGGTTTAGAGATAGCAACGGGAAATGGATACTTGGGTTTAATAAGGGATTTGCCAATGCAACAAATATCCAAATGGAAGCCATGTCCTTATTACAAGGACTACAACTAGCCATCCAAAAAAGACTAATCCCTTTAGTCATTGAAACGGACTGCCAGGAGCTTATTAACATGATTAACAATGAAAAAATGCTTTATCAAAATATTATTGATGATTGCAGGTCCCTATTATCTGAGGTGGGATCACCACCATTGAAGCATGCATTCAGAGAAGCTAATGGGGTAGCGGACGCCTTAGCCAAGAATGGATGCAGTCTGGACTCTTTTGCTGATTTAAACTTGTACTATTATCCGCCTGTATTTGCTATTTCAGTTTTTAATAGAGATGGGATAGGCACTGCGTGGCCTAGACAAATCTCATGTTGTAATGACTACTAAGTTTATTTTATGAATAAATGTCTCTAATTACCAAAAATAAAACTACAAAATTCTATTTTGTCGCTATTTTAGCTGCATACTTTAATGACGGAATATTTTTGTATCCAAAATAAACTAATTTTATGACAATAATAATTTGTCACAAATTGTCTGCAACATTAGTGACGAAACTAATTTGTCACCAATAGCTTTAAATTTGTAGCTAATATTACTCAATATTTGGCGCCAATCCATTACTTTGGTGGAAAACTTTAGTAGACAATTTTTTTGCTACGAAATTTGTGTTTAGTCACTAAAAATATGTTTCTAATGCATTTAAGTACGAGATGTGATTTTTGTCGGGAAAAGTGATCAATTAGTGACGATTTTTTATCATAGCTAATGATTTTGTGGTTAAAGATCACATTTGTTGTAGTGGAAGTACGGAAAAGATTTTTACCCAAGTCTTCTTTGAGCTTAAACTGGAATAAACTGATCAAAGTATTCCGTTTACCCAAAAGGATAACAACAGACGTAATTAAGAATGACCGAAATTTAGTTCGTTATTTAAAAGACACCAAAGATGCATTCTGAGAAATCAAAATCAAAAGCAAAAGCAAAAGCAAAAGCAAAAGCAAAAGCTGAGAAATTATTCATATATATCCACCATTATTTATTATTATGATTACAATATAGTTTTAAGTCATTACATAATATCATATCGTGAGTACATATTACGGTCGTTACATTTATCATATTGTGAATGCATGTTACGGTCGTCAAGTTTATCAAATCGTGAGTACATATTACGATCGTCATGTTTATCATATTGTAAGTACATATTATGGTCGTCACGGTTATCATATTGTGAGAACCTATTACGGTCGTCACGTTTATCATATTGTAAGTGCATATCACGGTCGTCACGTTTATCATATTGTGAGTGCATGTTACGGTCGTCACGTTTATCATATTGAGAGGGCATATTGCGGTCGTCCCATTGGCGGCCTGAAGGTAAGCCTGCAGTAGGTAGTGCAAGTCTTGCTCTTATTGCCCGAACTTCCTCAACACTAGTTTGGAATGCCCTGGCCACAACTTCTTCTGGAATTTGAGGTCTACTCGCAAACGTGGAAAGTGCAATTAACTGAACACCAGGATTTTGGCTGTTAAAGGCCACAATAATAGTTGCGTTACCTCTGCCAACGTTAAACTGGAAATGGATGAGCCCTCGTGGGAAAACAAAGACTTCTCCCTTTGTGATCAACTTGTTAATAAAAACGTTGTCCGTAGTGATGAATCCAGCAACTAATGTACCCTCTTCTACGAATATAATTTCAGAGGCTCGAGGGTGAGTATGTGGGGGGTCTAAACCATCACGTTCAAAGTCTACTCGAGCCATTGATACACCCTGTGTGTTAAGGCCAGGCATGTTATATACGTCGGCTACAGCGACTCGAGTGCCAAAAATATTGGGTACTCCTGGTTGTGCGATTCCCATTGATGCGAAATCTTCTGGCGTGAATGTAAAGTTCCTTTTGCATGGAAATCCGTTCACCGTTATAGCTGTTTTACGTATATATTTAAAAAGGTTGTAGGAGTAATTAAAGATGAATAATCAGCACTACGATATAAAAAAAAAGATTTGATGCAGAAGACTAAGTCCTCCATAAAAAGTGAGATTAGAAAACTAGAAAATAAAGTAGGTGGTATACCTAGCTACACAATAGGTTAATATACACTGATTGTGTAAAAATATTTTATATTATCCTTATGGCAAAACAAGTGTTCAGAATTGATATAAGTGGTCGGTGATAACATATACATATACATATGTGTGTGGTTTGGGAGTGGGGGGTGAATGTTAAATTGCTCCAAAGATAGTTTCAACTAGACTTTTTTGCTTACGCTTATCATGTTTACATCAGAGATTCTTGATAGACGATGAGTAAGTTGTACAGTTGGGAGAAATTAAAGAACAGTGAAGGCAATGAGAAAAGAGATCGACATTATTGTCTATGATGAAAACCATAACTATTTATAAGTTAACCATGGAGGAAATAAGAAGTTGGTTATTGCTAAAAGAAAAATAAATACTAACTTGAGTTCAGATCTGCGACACAAACATCTTGGAGGGGATCTGGATCAGCAGCAGAAGCACTGTTAAAAGTTATAGTTAAAATGGTGATAAATAAAAGGATCGTGTAGTTTTTGGTGGAAGAAGCCATGGAGATTTAAAGCAGGAATTGAAGTTTTTACGTAGAAAAGGAGAGAAAATGGTAGTTTTACTTATAGGAGTTTCTATCGTTTGCATGAGGTCATGATAGATCAATTTCGGGGGTCCACATGTGATCCAAGTTATTCAATTAATCTACTACAATTAAGTTGGTGTGACTTGTAAAAAGGAAATCACTCTACCATATACATTTAATTTCATCTACAAAAGAAGAAAAGTTAATCAACTTCGTTTGAATTTGCAGTACATAAAGTCATATCTGGACTTAATCTTTCCACTATAACGTTGTATTCAACAAGAAAGGAATGATACATACTAAGTAAGGTTAAGAAAAAGTCAAACTTATGAAAATATATCTTAGTCAGTATCCGGTATAGTAACATTAATTAAGCACTTGATGAAGTTAATGGATCGAATAACTAAGTGTTGCTCAGATTAGATAAACTTAAGCATGCATGCAAGATATACTTTCTGTATATCTACAAGAAAGTAATAGCAAGAAATTAAATGTTACGAATGTGAAAGCAATGAACTTATGAATTTGCTTCTTATAGTTAACAAAATTTTAAAATTTTGAGAGTTATTATGTATTTAATTAGCTCTTCATAAGAGTAATAGAATGTTTCTTAATTAGATTGAATATTTTACCGACCATAAGATATAGGGAAAAGAAAGCATATTAACCTCGATATGACCAACAGCTCCTTGTAGTTTCAAGAACCGAGAATTTTACACCTTCACCAAGTATATGAGTATTGCATATACTAGCTGTTTCACGTATTAAACACTTTTTTTTTTAAATTTTAAACTTCTCCATATGATATTGTATTAGTGGAAAAAATGCATGACACGTGGACTATTATCGAGGTGACAGGGCATGGTACGTGGACCATGCATCACGAATGCGAAAAAGGCACGGGACAAACACCCTCGGGGTTACACTGAGAAAATAGTCGGACCTGACAATTGTAGAAGAAGAAACAAGAGCGGAATGACTAAAGGCCGTTAAGAACGGAAGATGCACGAACCTGTCATAAATAAGGTAGGGAAATCGATACAGTTACAGGAAATCTTTAGCCATAAATACTTCCATTACAGTTGTATGTGGTAATGGGTAATCAAGGCAATTAATGCCATTAGTGAGCCCGAATTAAGTATGAAAACCGTTATAATTGTATGCTCCTATATAAGGACTGAGACCTCATTTGTAATATCATCGGATAATTATTAAAAATTTATGCAATCATTCCTTACTTTATTCTCAAGGTTCTAAACCGCAATTTTGGGAGTGATTATCAATTTATTTCATATTATCTTTGTCAATTATTTCCATTCCTTGATTTATTCTTCAAATTATTGAGAAAGTGAAGTAAATCGTGGTTATCAATAACGCGATTTCTTCTTGATATTGACTTTGACCGAAAAATCTATTTTTGGGTTAAACAAATTGGTTCAGTTACCGGGAATATGATAATTTGTTCACTTTCCAAACTTCATTTTTAACGACCAAGTATGTCAACCGTTAACGAGAACAACCAGTTGAACCAACAAAGTGGAACTCTACTACACTACACACCTACGGGATCCCCTCAGCAATCCCGTGAAAGTTCACCCAAAAGGTCTGCTTCGCGCTGATGATCAGCAGGGAGACGTCCAAACCGTGGAGCAGGATGCTTAAAAATAATTAATTGCAGAACACGTGAACAGTGCATTGCAGGCTTTTGTCAGAGGATTACCCAATGCAACGCAAACTCCTCCACCAGTTAATACTACAACTTTGGAGAACCCGCATTCGGGGCTTGATAACTCTGGAAGTGGAGAAATTCCCAATGAATCTCGCGATGGAGGGTCAGATACATCAAATAATTCTAGTTTATAAAGTTTAGTGCTAAATTTGCAGAAACAGTTAAAGGTGCAAAACGAGTGTCTAGAGCAAATACCTAGTGTGCCTCCCGTGATCAAAGGTATGGATATTGACAAGTATTCACAGCAACCCTGTAAGCCAAGTGCAGCACGTTATTACCAATTCCCAAAAAGTTCAAAATACCAGATATTCCAAAATACGATAGAACAACAGACCCTCGGGGTCATGTAACCGCATTCACTACCAGCATGAAAGACAATGATTTAACCAAGCAGGAGATCGAATCAGTTTTGGTTAAAAAGTTTGGCGAAACACTCACAAAAGGAGTGTTAATGTGGTATTCTCTTTTACGTGAAAATTCCATTGATTCTTTTGCTGAGCTTGCAGATTCATTTACAAAAGTACATTCGGGAGCTCAAGAACTTGAAAAAAGGATAGAAGACATCTTCAAGGTTAAACAAGGGAGGGCAAAATTGCTTAGGGAATTCGTAGATAGATTCCAGCGTAAGAGGATGATGTTGCCTCGAGTACCTGATAACTAGGAGACTATGGCATTCGCGAGCAACTTGAACAAGACAAGTTCAGAATCCACGAAGAGGTTGAAGGAAGGTTTGCGAGAATTTCCTACAACAACTTGGAACGATGTGTACAATAGATACAGTATGAAGCTATGGATAGAAGAAGATATGGTCGCAAAACCAAGGGTCGAAGAAAGGCCAGGTTCGAGAAGCTCAGAATCAGAAATGAGATCCGGTAAAAATAGGTACGAGCCATACATGGGAATTGCGAGGTGAGACTCTCGATCTAAACAGGAGAATGCATGATTTGATTCAAGATCAAGGAAAAAAGACGCGAGTTCTTCATCCGGGTTTAAAAAGGAGCGGGATGTCCGAAGAAATGATTCCAATACGCAAGCAAGAATAGAGGATCATAGCTTTAAAACATTAGCACCTCTGAATTAGTGACTTTTTTAAGAGGTATGGGAGATAGGTTGCAATGGACAAAAGAAATGAGTTCAAATCCGAACAAAAGAAACCAAGATTTCTGGTGCGAGTTTCATAATGATAATGGCCATAAAACAGTAGATTGCAGCCTTTTGCAGGGAGAGGTTGAACATATATTGATACAAGGATATCTTACTGATCTGTTCAGTGAGAAAGGGAGACAATCATACATGAAGAACATACAATAACCCCTAAAACCTCCATCACCGAAAAGAACAGTCAACATCATAAATGGAGGAGATGAGTTCAAGGGAGTAACATATATAGCCACAAAAAAGACATCAAAAGTCACTGTCACTCATAGAAAGAGAGTCCGCAAAGTCTTGGATGGGGACAGTATAACATTCGACGATGAATACGCGTATGGCTTGATGATTCCTTACAACGATGACTGGTAATATCTTTACTTATACATGATACTAATGTAAAACAAGTTTCGATTGATCCAGGTAGCTTAGTGAATATTATTTTATTGAGAGTGGTAAAAGAAATGCAAGCTAATGATAAGGTCATACCAAAAGCACGGTCCTTGTCTGGGTTTGATAATTCAAGCGTTATTACGAAAGGGGAAGTTGTACTTACTACATTTGCAGAAGGGGTCATCAAGGATACAAAGTTTCAGGTGATAGACGTAGACATGGCCTATAATATATTTTTGGGAAGAGCATGGATTCATGATATGGATGATATCACATCCACATTATATCAAGTTATCAAATTTCCTTCAAAGTGGGGAATTCGACAAATCCCCGGAGATCAACAAGCTTCATGAAGTATCAACTCGGTGGTGATTGCAAGAACACTAGCCAACGATGCAGATGCGAAATAGCAGTTACAGACACTGCTGTTCTCAACTGAAAATACGCAAGGGCAGACTGATGTCGACTCGAGACCCGATGTGATTCAAGAGCCAGAGGAAAATGAGAACATCAAACAAACCACCGAGGAGCTCGAAGCTGTAATATTATTTGTCCACTGGCTAGACAGAAAAGTTTACATCAGAGCAAATTTGAGCCTAGAGATGAAAGGTAAGTTAATTGAATTTTTACGTGCTAATGCAGATTGCTTTGCTTGGATTCAGATATGACAGGTATACCACCAGAGGTGATGACTCTTAAGCTGAATAAGGATCCATTACACCCACCTGTCAAGCAAAAGAAAAGGAAGCAAGGGTCCTTCAAAAATTAAGTGATCCAGGATGAGGTGCAAATGCTTTTAAAAATTGGTTCAATACGAGAGGTAAAGTACCCTTACTGGTTAGCTAATATCGTTGTGGTTCCAAAAAAGAATAAAAAATGACAAGTTTGCATAGACTATACTGATTTGAATAAGCCTTGTCCTAAAGAATCATTTCCTTTACTGCATATAGATCAGTTAGTTGGTTTTACCGCATGTCATGAGCTTTTAAGTTTTTTAGATGCATATTCAGGATATAACCAGATAAAAATGGACCCTCTAGATGAAGAAAAAACATCGTTTATCACAGACGGGGGACTTACTGTTACAAAGTCATGCCATTTGGCTTTAAAAATGTTGGAGCCACATATCAAAGATTGATGACTAAAATGTTTCAAGAACACCTGGGAAAAACCATGGAAGTCTACATAGACGATATGTTGGTAAAGTCAACATAGACGGGGAATCATTTTCAACACTTTTCTAAGACCTTTGAGATTCTCTGCAAGTACAATATGATGTTAAACCTAAAAAAGTGCTCTTTTGGCGTGGCTTCAGGTAAGTTTTTAGGTTTTCTTATTTCTAATATAGAAATTGAAGTAAATCCGCACAGATCAAAGCTATTGAGAAAATACCAGATATACTCACGAGCAAGAAAAAAGTGCAGAGGTTAACATGCAGGATAACAACTCTAGGAAGATTTATTCAAAGTCATCAGAAAAAAGTTTTAAATTCTTTTTAGTGTTGAAAAGAAAAATCAGTTTGAATGGACTGACGAGTGCCAACAATCTCTCAAGGACCCAAAGTTGTATCTATCAAATCCTCCTCTGTTAGCCAAACCGAAAGACGGTGAAAGATTGCTCATTTACCTCGATGTGTCAGAAGTAGCGATAAGTGCGGTATTGGTACGTGAAGATAAAGGCCAAAAATCCCCAATTTATTATGTTAATAAG